GGGTAGCAACTGCTTATCATAATAAACACGAACAAATTCTTAAAGTAATTTACAAGTGACCAAAAAGGAATACAACATCAAATTGCTGATGTCGCTTTTATGTCACACCCCCCCCCCCTTATTAAATTAACGTTCAGTTTTGGCTCGTTCAGTTTTGGCTCGTTGATTCCTCATCCAAAGATTTTCGATGTTATATAATTATGTAAGGAGGACATGTTCTTTGTGATTGGTATCAAACTGGATATGGAGGAAGTTATCCTTCTGGGTGATTGTTCTGTTGACATCCCATGGGAAATATATTTTGTTTGAAGAATAAAGACAGCTTTTTTCTCCTGTGGGTTGACTGAAATCATTTCATACCTGTTTTTTTAAAATACTGCCTTTATATAAGGGAGTTGACTGAAATCGTTTTATACTTGCTTTGTTATACTACCTTTATATAAGGGGGTTGACTGAACTAATTTCATACCTGTTTTGTTATTTTTAAAAAGTTGTTCCCACATCCGATCCGGACATTGGGGATTGTCTTGTTAGTGAGACAACTTCCTGGGCTTTCGGCATGTTGTGGTAGGGTGGCCAGTTTCTTTCCACTCCGCCTTTACTTCCCCAACTCAAAGTCAGGTACCCTTTGCTGCTGGGAGGGCAGGAGGGGGCGAAAAAATCCGTTTCCGAACTAAGGCTCGAACCACGACTTTCCGCTTCGGAGACGAGCGCACTAACCGCTTCGCCTCCGCAACCTCTGTTTTGTTTTACTACCTTTATATAAGGGGGTTGACTGAAATAATTTCATACCTGTATTGTTATACTACATTTGCCTAAGGAAGTAGTCATATCGACGCTCAGCTTCTAGTGTTCCGTCATGCAGAACGTCCCCATGGACATTTGGGTCACGACTTGGTGGAATCAGGCTCTCGTCAATCTTTGGGCATGTAGAGTTATTGGTATCATCTTAAAGCCTGTTCTCTTGTCTTTATTTGGATGGGGGAAAAATCCATTTATCTTGAATACAAGTCGAGATACTTTCGAATGAAGGAGGTGGGGGTCACTTGGTTTCAGGGGTAAAATTAGTGAGAAAATGACTGCCAAAAGTTAGTTATTTCCTTAGCTTAAGAGTCTGTGGTAACTGAAAATTTACATTTTTTGTGTGTTTGATCAATGTTTTTCAGTAAAATCCACTCAGAAATGAGTTCTTTAATGGGCATGAAAGGTGTTGAGCTAAAAAACAAAAATTCACAAACCAGCGGAAAAATGCCACTTTCTTCACTTTGATTATTTTGACGAGGGCCTGCTTCCACCACGCTGCCTCACATTTTAAAAAATTAACGTTAAGAGGTTGGCAGCTTCAACCCTGCCTGTCAGAGCCGACCCTGGCCGTGTGGGATAGATCTATAGCACCCAGCAAGACAGACGGAGATACCTAATAAAACTTTTCAGTACTAAGAAATTGAACTCACGCCTACTGTGTGAAAGGGCAATCAGTCTTACCATTACACCATTACACGTCACTGGTCCTATTAAGGTGGTATTTTCACCTCTGTTTCGAAAGACGCTTAACAAAAAAAAGAAGCAAAAAAACAACAAAAAACAACCGACAACAGCAGCAACAAAAAAGGGGAAAATGCGAGAAACGAGTAAGGCACTGTCATTTAAATGTTGAAAAAAAAGTCATCCAGGTGCAGTCGCTCTTCAGCCTCTTTTGAAAAGCTGCCAAGCCCAGAGCTCAAAGTTCAGGGTCAGCTTGGGGGTCATAGTGGGATCGTAAAGTAATGTCTTTCAGGAACAAGTAAGATACGGCCGTCCAGAAATTAAGGTGAAAATGGCAATACAATTATTTGAAAAGTTCAAATTTAATCACAATGAAATTTCCACTACACAGTGCTCACACTATGCCCCTACTCCTGAGTGTAATTCTGTGAAAATCGGTGAATTTTTGCCATATTTCTTCAATCGCCACTCACGAGCACGTTCAGGGGCGGTATGGCGAGAGAGGAAGTAAAATAACTCTGCACAATTACTGGTGAAAAGCACCACACATCCCAAAACTTCAACACCATCCTTGAACGTGTTCATGACAGGCGGTAGAAGAAAGACGACGACTTTCTGTCCCCGAGGTTTTATGCACCCCGCATAATTTAGCAAAATGTGATTAATATTTTTTTCATAATTTCTGATTATTTTCCTTTGCCATTCTTTGTTAAAATTAACAGAATCGCATAATTTCACATTTTTGGGCTCAGTTTGCGTAATTTCCGAATTTTTCTTGCATAAAACGACGGGGACAGGACTATCACTGAAAACTGGTCAAAGTCAGAGGTAAGTCAGAAACAAAAGTTGGTAAAGGAAGACGTTGGACCTTCCAGATGTGCCCTCTAACTACCTGCAAGTAGAAACAAGGAGAGCGGACACTAGTGATGGGCCGATACCACAATTTAGGTATCGATGTCGATACCTAGCAATGATAGTACATAACAAGATGGGCCACTTCTCTCTTTGAGCCAATTAAAAAAGTGTCCTCAAAATTTGGTGGCGCCCTCTTCACAAAAGCGCACTCTTTGCGAACAGAGTTACCC